TGACTATGTGCCCCCTTGAAAACTCTAGTAGCTCACTTCCACCTTTAAGATCAAATATAAAATCATCATTTGGCTTTTAAAGCGTTTTCATCACGAGGCCCCTTCCTACCTTTCCAATCTCCTTATACTTTATTCCCCTTCACATTTTTTTTTAAACACAGTGACAATGATCTACTTGCTATTCTTCAAATACAACACTCCATCTTCTAACTTCATGCCTTTTCATTGTTTCCCTCCATGTCTGGAACACTCTCCTTCCTCATCTGTGCCTCCTGGCTTCCTTCACAACTCAACTCAAATCACTTCTTCAGGAAATCTTACTCAGTCCTCCCTAGTACTAAAGGGTTCACTCTGCAATTATTTTCCATTTATACTATACACACACACACACACACACACACACACACACACACACCTTCGATCTGTAATTTTTTGCATATTGTCTCTCCCGTCAAATTATGACAGTATGTTTCTGCCCTTTATTGTACGTCTAGTGCTTATCACAGTAGTAAGAGTTTAATAAGTTCTTACTATTTTCACTAATCTACAAAAACTACTTTACTCAAAGGTCACCAACAGGTTCCTAATCACAAAATTGGAAGATGTTTCAAAAATTCTCTTCATCCTTTACCTCTTCGCAGTATGTGACACTGTGGACCACCATAAGGCTTCCCTGTGTATACTCACTTCTCCTTTAATTTTCCAAACCCCAAATTCTCCAGGTTCACCTCTTAACACTCTAATAACTTTGTTAAGTATGTATAGAGTGTGTGTGTGTGTGTGGGGGGGAGGCCCTAATCAAGGAAGCATCTGGCAAATTTGATGAATTATCTCTTCAAGATGATAACATTACAATGTGTGAAATGGTCCAAATAGTGCCTCTAAAAGTTTAAAAAAACTTTGTCCTATTTTATCTCTGTTAGCTCTGATAGTTTAACTAGATGAAAACACTTCTTAATCAAAAAACCTTAGACTAAGTGTGAAAAGTCTTTGAGAGCCACTGGATGAAGTGAAATGATGGTCCTGAGTATACTAGACTTTCCATCTTCCCATCACGGTCCTAAACTGTATCCTCAGACTGATTAGCAGGAAGCAGTGGGTACACCTTCAGGAGCCAAGGACAAAATGGACTCATATGTCAACCAGCAAAGAGATAAGACCATACTTAAGGGGCATTTCTTGGATCACCCCATAATGGAAATAAGTCTTCTAGCAACCAAGAGCTATGTCACTTACCCTTTTGCCATAGGTACTCAATGGGCTTGCCCCCACAAGACTGCGACACAGATGTTTGTGGAGAACTGTTCTTAATAGACTACCTTAGTAAATATTCCTTTCTAAAAGTTACCTAAGGCTGGCTGACTTAATGCTCAATTGATAATCTTGATGGGGGGAAGTATACTGGTGATGGCTCTAACCAACAGCATAAGAGAAAGTCAATCCTGACTCTTCAGTGATTCCCCCAGAACTCTTATAATCAGCCTAACTCTGGGAACCTAACTTGTCTATGGAAGTGCGAATTACAAAAAGCATGTACTCCCAAAAGCCAATGTGAGCTACATTATTGATTTGTGAGAAGACTCCTCTGGTCCAGAGAGAATGGGTCTGCCTTCCAGATAATTAAATGGATTCTGGGGGAATTAACCCTTGTCAAAAGAATTGTCCCTCCCTAGCTACAGGCAACATGAGGATGGGAAGGGAGGGAGGAAGGGAGGGAAAAGAAGACAGTTCTTCTTCCAACAAATGTCCATTCCCTATAGCTCAGTCACCAATCATATCAGTGGTAGGCCCACTGCCTGTGGACTAGACAAATTCCTTGCATCCTCTTAGTAAGGTGCTAGGACACATACCTGCCTCCTTCAAGGCACTGTATAATCCCTATAGTATCAAGTTAATGAAGGAAGACATCAAAATGATCAGTAACTCCCATAAGCAACCTCCTTTTCAACTCTTTTTTGTCTCTTTTTCCTTATCCCTTAATATGAACACTAAGCTCAGTCTTCAAGACTCTTCTCTTCCCTCTTTACATTCTATCCCTCAGCAAACTTGATCATACCCATGGCTAGAACTTTCACCTCTGCATTGATGATTCCCCAACTGATATTTCTTGCTTTGACCTTGTTTTCTTCTCGAGCTGTCTATAGGACATCTCTACCTGGATGTCCTATTGGACCTTCCAACTCAACATATGCAAACCTTGACTTATTTTCCCCCAAAACCTGTACTTCTTTACTTCTAGCAATGGCCTCACCATTCATCCTAACTCTCATATTAGAAATCTTTCACTTTTTCTTTTTCCTCACCTCTCAAGTTGTAACAATTTTACCTCAACAACATCTTTTACATCCAATGTCATTATTATTGAAATTTCTATGTCATCACCCTAGTTTGGGTTCATTTACAATAGTCTCTAAAGTTTTCCCACTTGTACTCACTTTCCATTCTTCACATACATTCCTTATATGCAGGTTACATCACAATATTTCAGGTGATTCCTTACTGCCTACTGAATGAAGTTCATAATCCTCTCCCTGGGAACCAAAACCCTCTAAAACCTGGCTGTACCCTATTTTTCTGGCATTGTTTACTCACTCCTCCCTATGCTCCAGCCAAAAGACTTAGGTATCTTCCAGTCCATTTCATTCATTCTATAAAAGAGGTAACTGTAAGCTTAAGTGACTTGACCAAGGACATACAAGTGGTAAGAAGCAGAGACAAGATTCAAACCTAAGTCCTATCATTCCAAATCCACCAGTCTTTTCCATTCCAACCTGGAACCTATCCAAATATGCATTTTGATTTCCCATATTTACTCTTGCTCTGCCTGAGATGAATAAATCCACATATTCCCCTGTCAAAATCCTATCATTCCCTTAAGACTTGATTCACCAAATGTCAGCTGCATGATTCTCCCTGATCCATTCAGGTCTGAGTTTTCATTCCCTTATCTGTTATCAAACACATGCCCTTATTCTATGCTATTGTTTATTGCAGGTATTTGTGTTGCCTTACAAAACTATGTATCCTGCACAAAGATACATATAGTAGGAGAGAAACTGAACTGTGATTTCATTGGTATAAGGACATCCTGGGTGAAGAAAAATCCTCTAAGAATACAAATTGGCAACTTTTCTGAATCTTAAGCCTTTGGGAGTTGTATAGAACACTGAGTGACTTACCCAAGGACCGACATATAGCTGGCATGTGTCAGAGGCAGGATTTAAACCCAAGTTCCTGGCTTCTAGGTCAGACTTTTATCCAGTAGGCCACAGAGCCTCTTACAGTAGGCATGCAACAAATACTTCTTGCTGAATGACTAGCCATTTCATTCCTCTACTCTTGCAACACACGTTTCTTAGTGTAAATGCCACTGCCACTGTGGCAGATTGTCCATTACCCCCTAAGACAGACCTGATCATACCAAGACCCAGAGCCATTTTTCAGTAGAAGATACAATTTTTTATAGTGCCTGAATAAGTTCAAAGCAACGGAGTTCCACACTTCTCACATGGCCTGACAGACTGAATTCACTTAAGAATATTGTGTGTTACTCAGTAACAAACAGATTTTCACTTAATGTCTGAGAGTACTGAAGCTTCTATTTTAATTATTGGAAACCAATCTCCCCTCCTTGATCCTTTGGAACTTGAGTTTAGCTCCACAATCACTCTCTTTTTCACGTAGGCCCAGGTACTCATAAACAAATACCCTCACATGTTTCACACATACATTCCAAAAGACAGCCTGCTCTTGAAAGAATAGTTTTACTGGGCAGCAGGCACTCACCCAGAAAGCCATACTGGTTCTCTATATCTCTCTCCTTTTTCCCCCTTACTTTTTTTTTTTTTTTTTGGTTAGGCAATGGGATTAAGTGACTTGCTCAGGGTCACACAGCTAGTAAGTGTTACGTGTCTGAGGCCAGATTTGAACTCAGGTCCTCCTGAATTTAGGGTCAGTGCTCTATCCACTGTACCACCTAGCTGCCCCTCCCCTTACTTTTCCATTTGCTACATGTGCCTATTTCTGCTTCCTCTGAGTTGCATTTTCTCTTGTCTCTTTATTCGTTGGCTTCTGAGAAGGAATCTGGAAAGATTTCTGGGCTCTGGAGGTGCTTTCAGAATAGCAGGACTGAGACAAAGCTAGGGGTAAGGCAGATAAAATCAGAATAAAGGAGAGTTCTTGGAGTTCCACCACAAACAGCAAGGAAATGAGAGAGAACTCAGAGACAATGAAAAGAAGTGAATGGCAGAGATAGTATAGTATAGGTAATTTCTTTTACTTGTACTTTTGTGAGCATGGACTACATTAGGTTGAAGCACCAAATCATAAAAACAATTTTACTCAGTTTTGAAAACAAATTAAATAAATCTGCAGCACAGATTTTCAAGAACAAAAGCAGAGCAAGGGCCAGAAGCAAGAGGAGCAGATGCAGATATAAGGCATTCATTGGTTGCTTTGCCAGTTCCTGGGCACCCTTGCACCAACCAGGTACTCAGAAGATAGAGCTTCAAGTAGTCTCTTATCAATTTCCTAATACTGCAAAATCTGAAAGGGGACAGATCTGAGGGAAAAGACTTCATCTGTGAATGAATAGAGCACTTTTCTTTGTGTGCTAATGCAGATTAGCACTAGTTATTCTTTGCAACTGTCTATGACTTTGAGTCTAGGAAATGATTGGACTAGATTTCTAAGGTCCATTTCAGCTCTTATCCTTTATTTTAAGTATCTAATTTTCTCCTGTAACACAATTCATCCTCACCAGAAAACCAGGTATATGCCCAATTTTCTAAATATTTTATTTATTTTTAAGCTGAATTATCCTTAAGATAGACAAATTCCGTTAAAACGGCAGCCCTGCTCTAGGGAGAAAAACAGCTTCTACTTATAACTATATAAAAGCAGACTATGAGATAAACTAAAATTTCAATGATTCCAATTAGGTTAATTACAAGTACCAGATCATAAACCTACGGACAGGAAAAAGTTTATGCATTTCTTACCATCTTTCCAAAGCTCTGCAACAAATCTGTCTGACGACTGGTGTAAAAGGGTAGCTACGTTGTCATTCAGAGGATCCATGTTCTTCATCAGCCACTCATCAGCCTTATAGTCCACCTGTAAGAAAAGGAAGAGGGAGGACTGTTTAAATAAAATAAAATAACATCCAAGGCTAAACTAAAAAGCCTTAAGATTTATGTAAGAAATGGGCTAAACGGAATTCTAGGTTGTTTTAATCAGCATGGAATCCATACAATCATTTCTTTAAATATCAATTAGAATATGAACACATTCATATTTCCGTTCTGCTTCACCTTCCTGAAAAAAAAAAACGCTATTTTTTTACTGAAGAAAAACATTTGATACAACACAAATTGAAGAAAATCTAACTATGACATAACTCTTACCTTTCCTGCATAATGAATAATACAAAAATCTGCCTTGTCTTTCAGTTGCCTGGGTTTTTGGAACTTGGAGTGTGTGCCTTGCTCTTGAACCAATTTTTCCACAAAGGTCTTGTCAGTAGCTTTAGGAAACCAGCACTCTTCATCCAAAAGAGCCAATACACCAGGTGGATTAGCCTAAAAAGAAAAAGCAATAGTCACTGACAAAATTTTATATCCATCTTAAATACCATAAATAATTCCTTTAGTGATCTGTAGTTTCTCCTCATAATTAACAGTTTTTATTGTACTTTTTCATTAAGTACACAGAAATTGCTTCTCTAAGGTTTAGAGCCTAGTGATATACGTAACAGGATAATAGGCAGACTTTCTTTGACTAAACTGGAAATTGCCATTTGAATTACTGGAATGGTGATGGGGATTAGACCTGATCTGTGATTTCACCAATATAAGGAACTCCTTCCCAGTGAGTAAACTCCCTTTATCATGAAACTTACAGAGTTAGAGAATTGCAAAGAAATTAAGAAATTAAGTGACTTGCCCAGGATCATACAACCAGTATGTTAGAGGCACTACCATACTTTGAATCTCCCAGGTTTGTAATCTTTGCATTATCAGGGACTCCTCACTCAACAAATCCAATCAGCAGTCAAATCTTTCCAAATTCCACAATATTTCTCACATCTGACCCCTTCTCTATACTCACATGTCTCCTTAGTTCCGGTCCTTATCACCTCTTATCTAACATATTTCAACCGCCCCTCTATTGTTCTCCATGCTCAAGTATTACAAGAAACCTCCTAAACTTCAGAAGAATCTGGAAAGACCTGTATGGACTGACTCTGAGTGAAATCAGCAGAACCAGAAGAATGTTGTACACAGCAACAGCCATGTTGTGCGATGACTAACTTTGATAGACTTAGTGCTTCTCAGCAATACAAGGATCTAAGACATCTCCAAAAGTCTCATGATGGAAAATGCTATCCACATCCAAAGAAAGAACTATGGAGAAGCATATTATTTGCTCTTTTTTTCTTCTTCTCTTTTGTTTTGTTTCTTCTCTCTTGTGGTTCCTCCTATTGGTTCCAATTCTTCTTTACAATATGACTAATGTGAAAATATGTTTAATAGGAATGTACATGTAGAGCCTATATCAGATCATATGCCATCTTGAGAAGGGAGGTGGGACGTAAGGAGGAGAAAATTTAAAACTCAAAAGCTTATGGAAATGAATGTTGAAAACTAAAAAGAAATTAACAAAAAAAAGAAAATGGTTCTTTAGAAATGTTTACATCTACAGATGATTTTATAATTGAAAATAACCTTCCCAAAGATTTAATTGTAATAATTATAATTGATCATCTGAAATGCCTGGAGACAGTTTCAGAAATACTTCCCTGAAAATTTGTTATAAAAAACTAAGTTGGGTTTGTAAACAATACTCAATTGAAATTAAAAGCCTCCGTCATTTGCCATTAAAAGTTCAAGTGACACAGGTTTAAAACTTGAGTTTCCTAAAAAAAAAAAAAATCATTAAATGAATTTTGGCTTGAGATTAGGACAAAATTTTAAACAATTTCTGATTGGCCCTTCTGCAATTCTGTACTACATATTTATGCAAAGAGGTATTCTCAGCATTGACAATTATAAAATCAGAATATCAATCAACTCTGAAATACATTGAAGATGCTCTAAGTAATGCAGTATCAAATATTCCACCAACATTTAATTCTTTATGTAAAAATAAACAAGCACATCCATCTCATTAGTATGCAATTTGCTTTCATCTTATAATAAATGGTAAAATTATATGTATGCAGAAAAAAAAATTCTAGGATTATATAAAACTATAGAGAAAACCTGGATAGTATGATGAAAAAAAAAGGGTAGTGGTAACACATACTAAAAGTTTATAAACGAGAATGTTTTGCCTATCCTGTACCTTGGGGAATGAAATATTAAAGGTTAAGTCAATTTTCTACATAATGGTCATTTAGACAAGTCAACGGTATCAAACTGAAATAGAAACAGGGCCACAACACTATACATAAGGATCCCTGTGGGCCACACACTGACTTAGAAAACCACATGTGTTTACCTATTTCTTTTTTTATTAATTTATTTATTTTGTTAAATATTTCACAATTGTATTGTAATCTGGTTTAGGCTGCCCTCAGGAATGTTGTAGCTGCCCATGATCTGTGGGCCATGTGTTTGATAACCTTTGGTTTACACAGGCATACGACTAGGAAGCTTTGTTTGCCAGTTACGATGGCTAAAATTCAGTATACATTCTCCTCCAAACATGCTTTACTTAAAATATGAGTAAGTGCTATCTATTCCCACTATAGACATTCTAGTACAAGGCATACTTTCAGGCTTTCCCATTTCTATTCTCTTCCCTTTCCCAATCAAGCCATTCTTCTCAAACACAGATAACTGTCCTCTGAATATAGAGCAGACTGCCCCTGGCATTTAAGGCCCTTTTTACACATCATAAATTATCCCCTCCTATTACTCCCTGCTACTCTCTACTAAAAGTGATCAACTATGTCATCCAAAAATGTGTCCTACTCTCATGCATTAGATGCTGTCCCCCTTTGCCTTGTATACTCCTTTTCGCCTACTGGATTATTACTCAGAGTGTGAAAGTCCAGTTCAGGACATCCTCTTCCAGAATGCCCTACCTAATCCCCTGTTACAACTTTATCCTTCAAATTTCAAAAACCCATTTGTTTTGTAGCTCTCAGGTACTTTTTGTGGTTCAGTCATTTCAGTCGTGCCCGACTCTCCATGAGCCCATTTGGGGTTTGCTTGGCAAAGATACTAGAGTAGTTTGCCATTTCCTTCTCCAACTCATTTTACAGATGAGGAACTGAGGCAAACTGGGTTAAGTGACTTGCCCATGGTCACACAAATCAGATTTGAAGATTGAGTCTCCCTGATTCCAAGCCCTGTGCTCTATCCACTGTGCAACCTAGCTGCCCATTATCTTACAATATTGTATATTATTCCATTGGGCTGGGGACGTAGCTCTTTGCTAGATTAATCTCCCTAAAACAAAGACACAGTTTACCTAAACTCTGTATCTCCACCTTTGCCTCACAGAGTGCCATGACCTAAACAGTTGCTGTATAAATCTATGTTCTACTGCATATATATTTATTAGATGTTGCTTATGGCTAGAAAACTGAAGTGGCCTGGTCATGTTTTGAAAAGGAAAGAACAGATGGACAGACTAATTATTACAGTTTCCTTCAGAATGCTAAAATAAAGTGATGAAAGTTTCCAGTATGTTCGGTAAAGACAGTCTCTTTTGAAAGATTTATGCCAACTATCCTCAGCACTTAAATGATAAACAAAAGTACTGCAAATAGTTTAACACTTTTTATAAAATATTTAAGGTACAGTAAAATAATACAGTTCTGTCTACTTTTGAGGTTTTCTATTGCAGACTTCAAAGTGATGTTACTTCAAACTACTTACTGAGTTCTGGTGGGGGGGAAGTACTATGCTAAGTTATTTAATAAAGACAATAGAGAAAGATTACACAGTTACTTGAGTCACACTAACACTACATTCACTCCAGGCCCAGTATTCTCAACTATGGATTATTGCATAAAGAAGGCTTATTGAACTGAACTAGGAGGAGAGTCATTCTGGGCTAAGACTCAAAGCTGAATGATCCAAGTTTCCCCTTGTTGCTTACTTCTATTATAAACTCACTAGAGGAAGGTGTGTTCACTAGGCACTATCAATTAATTATTTCATATCACTTGTTGGAGTAGCTATTTGTCGGTCCACAAGGGCCTGTGACTTCAGGCTGTACTTGTAGCCACCCACCCTTTTATTTTGGCCTTGACATTGGTATATGGGACTCCTGGTTCCATCAACAGTGATCAACCACTATTCTACTATAGTCTTAGGATTGCTTAAGACATTGAGAATTTAAGTGACTTTGTCACGTCAGTGTCACGATAGTCCACATTGGTGGGACTTGAATCCAGGGCTTTCTAATTCCATTATGCTACTCTAGAACACTATCTTGTGGTCTCTATACCAATGGTGAAAGATGGGCTTTCCCCACTGCCACCCCTCTTTGTTTTTTATGGCCAAATTAATAAATACATAAAATCTAAAAGCTAATTATTGCCAAACAAAACAAGGTGCAGATACTGAGAAAGATAACCAATGTATATCACAATATCCAATATCCCAAACAGAAAATAGCTACTTCTTGAACAGAATTGAGCACCAATAAATTTGTTCCCAGCATTTCCTTCAATTATTTAAAAACATTCTGAGAAGAGGTCTATATATAACACACCAGACTAACAAAGGAATTTATTACACAAAGAGGTTAAGAATCTGTTATAATTTGCTAGGAGTTGTGAAATCAACAAACTAAGGTTGTTAAGAATTATTTATTAAATGAAAGTCATATTTTGGAATCAAGAGTTCAAGCGTAAAGTGTAGCGCTTCACTACAATGACTTTTCAACAACTTAAGAAGGGCTAGGGTTGTTAAAAGACTAAACTCAGATAAAGTGGTATTACTATACTGTATTTTATTAAGTGTACATCCTCTGACACCCCATACTCCCAGACCCCAATATTTTTTCTGCTTTGAAACAGCAACCACAGATAACAGAAAAAGCTCTTCAAGAATTGCATATTTGTGTGTTTCACATCAAATAAGAAGGTTCAATTAGAAGTGACTATTCACCACTGGCAGGAGGCAAGGGAGAGGAAGCAAGTGACCACTTGCTTCATCCCCATCCACATCCCCATCCTTGGATCAGGGCTATCTGACCAGGCCACAGACCTTAAATATACACCAAGTTATTTTTTTCTTCACAAAAGTATCTTTATTTTTTTAAAAGCTCTGACTTTACATATGAAAAAAACGCTCTAAATCACTGTTGATTAGAGAAATGCAAATCAAAACAACTCTGAGGTACCACATCACACCTATCAGAATGGCCAACATGACAAAACAGGAAAATGATAAATGTTGGAGAAGATGTGGGAAAATTGGAACACTAATGCATTGTTGGTGGAGTTGTGAAATGATCCAACCATTTTGGAGAGCAATTTGGAACTATGCCCAAAGGACTATAAAAATGTGCATACCCTTTGACCCAGCAATAGCACTTCGAGGGCTATATCCCAAAGAGATCACACAAATGGGAAAAGGACCTACATGTACAAAAATATTCATAGCACTCTTTTTGTGGGGGCAAAGAATTGGAAATTGAGAGGATGCCCATCAATTGGGGAATGGCTGAGCAAGTTGTGGTATATGAATGTGATGGAATGCTATTGTGCTATAAGAAATGATGAACAGGCTGACTTCAGAAAAACCTGGAAAGACTTGTATGGTCTGATGCTGAGTGAAGTGAGCAGAACCAAGAGAACGTTGTACATAATAACAGCCACATTGTGTGATGACTAATATTGATAAACTTAACCCTTCCTGGCAATACAAGGATCTAAGACATCTCCAGAGGCCTCTAGATGGAAAATGCTATCCACACCCAAAGAAAGAACTATGGAAGCCGAATTGTTATTTTTTTTCTCTTCTGTTGAGTTCTGTTTCCTCTTTCTATGGTTCCTCCTATTGGGTTTAATTTCTACATACAATATCACTAATGCGAAAATACGTTTAACATGAATGTAAATGTATAGCCTATATCAGATTTTGCGCCGTCTTGGGGAGGGTGGTGGGGAGGAAGGGGGAGAAAAATTTTAAACTCAAAAGCATATGGAAGTGATTACTGATAAATCAAAATAAATTAATAAAAAAAATTAGAATGAAAAAAATAAATAAATAAAAGCTCTGACTTTATTACGATCCAAACTTACAAGCAAATAGGACATTTAGACAATTGCAAATATTTCCTCCAACACAGAAAGAATCATAGTGTCATAAATCTGGAATTGAATGGGACCTCAGAGGCCATCTTAACAATTTTACAGATGAGGAAATTATGCTATGGGGGGAAACTAAGGCCCCATGAGTAGTCAGTATCAGGAGGTGCTCCTAGAATTAGCCCCTGAATCTAGAGCCATATAAAGGCTAGAAAACATTTAATTATACAACAGCGGCAAAGACAAACTTAGGTTAATACTTGCCACACAAATCAATGGTTTTGAAACACTGAATAGCCATTGGAGGTTATGAAATCTCCCACCTAGATACCTTTAATTGGACAGTTCTCCATCTCCCATGGTTTGGGTATAATTATGCTTGAAGTAATAGAACTAACAGACTTAAGAAGGGGGAGAAGGGGCACGTGGATATCATTCCTTTTCTTTCATAGCATTTCAAATACACACAGAGAGACTGGTTAATTTCAAGCTAAGAATAGTATCATGAATTTGATTATGTATATTTTGTGAACGTGTGAGAACTTGAATATCTTCTGACAATCGCCCAGAGAGGCAGACTGGGATTGTAGGTAGAAAGTCTGCCCGGGAGTCAGGAAGTCCACATTTAAGTCCCACCTCTAACCCATCCTTTCTGGGTGACACCTGGGCAGATAATTTAACATCTCACTGCCATAGACAATTCTCTAAGAACATAAGTTGCTGCACAAATACTGATCTGAATAGGTACAAGCAGTTTCTTGTCCTAAGTGATATATAATAATAAAATCACAGGTATAATAGAAGAAATTTTGCCCACAATCTGAAGTAATAAATACACAATAATTACATAGGTAGGACTCATTGTGGCATACCTAAGAAACTGAATGGCAAAAGAAACCTTCACTTTGAAATACTAAACACTACTACCATTATGCAATTTAAATCAATTGAATTTCTAGATATTTCTGGCAATGGAATAAGAACAAGGGAAGATTATGAGAAGCTGCTTGCCAATTTAATTGGCTGCTGCCATTAACTCTATAAATTTAAGCTAAGTCTAGAATCTCATTTCTTGTGCCCTCTCCACTATTCCATATTGCTTCAGTAACTGCCACCTGACTCTAAATGAACATGTAAAACCAGGAAAAAATGAGCATTCTTACTGGTCGTTCTATTAAATCAATGCAGGGCTGCAAATCTAGTCCAAAATCAATAAAATTCCATTCAATGCCTTCCCGTTGGTATTCTTCTTGCTCAAGGACAAACATGGTATGATTGAACAACTGCTGTAGTTTCTCATTGGTATAGTTGATGCAGAGCTGCTCGAAGGAATTCAACTGTAAAAGTGTTGAAGGAAGAATGAGGTTCTAAAAGGCCATTTTCCAAAAAAAAAAAAAAACAAGTATGCAGACAACAGGAGAGATCAAGTAACTAAGACCAATGTTAAATCATAAAAAAGTGAAAGAGAACACAAGGCTATGACTTTCACAATTATGGAAAAGGGAAGAACTTCTAACAAGACCGGATAAAAGAGATTATGGAATCTTAGATTTAGAGTTAAAAGGAACTGAAGAGGTCATCTGTTCCATCTCTCTCCATTCCATTCTATACATTTCTATTAAAACATTTACTTCAAATGCAAATCTGACTCTCCTACTCAATGAATTCTAGTAGTTTCTTATTGTTCTTGGGATAAAATACCAATTTCTCTCTTTAACTTTTAAATCCCTTTACAACTTGACCCCAATCTATATTTCTAGTCTCAGTGGATATTACTCCTCCTCTGCAAAAGCCAAAATGGTCTCTCTGATCCCCACATGACATAACACCTCCCACTTCACCATTAGGGTGAGGTATAGAGAGCGACAGAATGATAGTTATAGTCAGACAGAAGAATGTAAAAGTTTTTGATTGAGGAAGTGGAATACTTGTGGGTAACTATGAGATCCAACATGTTGGGGGCAGGTCTGACATTGCACCCTAATAGTTCAAGTTTAACGTTAGAACAAAATGAAGTACTGATTGGTCACTAAACAAAAGGTATCAATAAAAATATTTTAAATTAATATCTTGAAACACCTCAAAAATTTCAAATCCAGCTATATCCAGAATCCCAATGAAAGATGCTCCTTGTCGTTTGGTCCTATCCAGGGCTTTATTAATTCGATGAACAAGCCAGCGAAAAAGACGTTCATAGGTAGCTTTTGCCAGTGCTTCTACAGCAAAATCAGCCTGAAAATCAAAATGCATCAAGCATTTAATTTGAGAAATTTCAATCGAGCAGTAATAAGTGACTTAAAAAATTTTTTAATTATTATTTTTTTAAAATCCTTGACCGATATACCCACTAAATAGCTTCATCACAGAAAGAAATGAAGTTAAGTTTGATAGAAGAGGTAGTACAATTTGATGAAAAAAGTGCTGAATCTGAAGTGAAAGGACCTGTGTTCAAATCCCAACTTTGACCTTGGGCAAATCTCATAAGCTTTCTGGGCCTTATGATTCCTCATCCATAAAAAAAGGTAGCTGGGTTAGATGATTTCTTAAGTCCCTTCAAGTTGCACTCATAAATCTATGACTAAAGGTCTCTATGAATTTGTATATTGATGTAGAAAATTATCACAAATAACTGAAGATATGAATACCCGACAACTGGTTTGAGGACATGACTATGTCCCACTAAATAAGGAAGCTTTGTAGGAATGGATCCTTTTGTTGGGTAAAAATATGTCCTCTCAGTAGGAGCATTCAAGAGTCATCCCCCCGGAGATCCTTGCAGCTTTTATTACCAAGAACTATGATAGACAGACAGACAGACAACTGGCTAGCTCTCCCCCAGGAGGGTTCCTTGCCCTTCAGCTGAGTCAGGCTCAAAATGTCTCTTCTTAGTGGTTGCACCAACTACTCTGGGCAAGGATAACACACTCTACTCCCGTTGGTATGTCATCACAACATGAACAGGATTTATATGCTTGCAGGATAAATTTCCAATGTGCAAATTCATGTCAAAATGTGAGAAAACTGTGCACAGGATAACAGGAAGTGGAGTTTTGTATAATTACTATAAAGAGCACTGGATGCAGGGGGTCAAAAGACTTAAGGACTGGCTTTGGCATTTATGAGCTCTGTGACACTGAGCAACCTATTTCTCAGAGTCAACTACTCCATTTAAAAAATGGGGAAAATTACTTTCCTGCCTAACTGACAAGGCTGTTGTGAATATAAAATATTACTATTACTTGATTAAGGTGAAATTTTTGAAAAAAGGAGTGTTCCTGAAAAAATATGTGAATTTTCGCAAATGAATACAAGTAGTAACATGAAGAGGCAATGTCACATAATACATACAGATCTGTCCTTAAGAGGGAAGATCTATGTTTGAATCCTGCCTATGACATACTACTAACTATGTTAGTTCGGGCAAATCATTTAATCTCTCAGTGTCTCAGATACTAAGACTTTTTACTCTGATGGAATCATGAAAACAAAAAAGCCAAATATAAACAAAGGAAAAAAAAAACAATTTCCTAGGTTTCATTCTTTCTTGACTTTGAAAAGTTAAAAAAATAATTAGTAGAGTAGAAAGAACAGAGATAGAGGATCAAAACCCTAAGAGTATCTAGATGATCGAAATTTGTATTATTTCAATGTTACATGTCAAGAAGTAGATCACTTAAAGAGAATATAGAAGAAAGTATTACTAAACTTACTTGTTCCTTAGTTTGGGCTTTCTGGACATAATCTCTGCCAACCTTGATCCGAGGAGTAAGGATGGCACGAGTAAATTCCATTACGTTCATCCCCAGCAGATGACAGAGTTTCTGTGCAACTGAAATTTTAACAATTTTTAACCCTTAAAAATACTGTAAACTCTGATTTATCAACTAGTCCTAATACCAGTGGCAACCAACATTTCTTCTTTACAAGGCAATAGTGACTAAAAAAGTAAACACAAACACTTAATAAATTACACTGAAACAACCACAAAGTGGCACCTCTCACTTCTGGCAGACCAAGCATAACAGATGGCATTTATTAGGGACAAAGCCTACACTTAAGAAACATTAATTTTCACATGCACAGAATGAGGCAAGTGTGGTTAGACAACAAGATGTGTGCTGGGAGTCTTAATACTTGGGAAGATAAATGAGTCAAGAAGGTGATAAGGCAGTCATAAATGCAAAAAACTGATGTTGAGCACCTGGAGTCACTGGCCTCAGACCCTTACTATCTATGTAAACCTTGGTAAATCATTTAACCTCAGTTTACCCCAGTTTCCCCACCTGTAAAATGGGGATAATAATAGCACCTACCCCCAGGGCTGTTGTGAGAATAAAATGAGATAATTGTAAAGTGCTCAGCACAGTGCCAGGCATATAGCAAGCACTATATAAATGTTAGCTATAATAGTTATCATTTGCCTCTAGAAATGACGCACTACTCCCTAGGAGCCCTCAAAACAAAAGTGCTATGGACTTACAACAAGGAACTAAGCACAAAAGCTGAGCATCAATGAGTAATATATGTATATAATAAGAAAAAGCACATGTACCATATAAAGTTTCAAAGTACACTATAAATAATAAATAAAAAAAGAAAGTACACTTTTGTTTTACTCTCCTCTGTAGGTACTGAGGATACAGTGGAAGGCAAGAAAACACAACAAGCACAATAATTATCTGCCTATGAGTACTGAAAGATTCCAAGTATCACTGGAACAAAAGGTTTAGATTAAAGCTAAAAGGGGCCTCAGCAATCAAATTCAGCACTCTCTTCCAGATGAGAAAGCAAAAGTCCACATTTATGGCAAGGAGTAAGCAGTGTATCTCAAGGAAAACTTGAGCTCTATTGTGCATGAATATGAAGAGATGTGATATGAAAGAAAACAAAACAATCTAGGCCAGCATATTCCTTTTAATCCTGAGAACCCCTCAAATAATCATATATTTAATAGTTTAAAAACTAGGAACTCTGTAATTGACAATCCAGAAGATTGGAATAAGAACCACATGAAGCATCAAGGGTAATGACAAGTCTCTTAAAAATAAATTTATAAAATACATTATTTGTACGCTATGAACTGGGGGCCACAAATACAGAGCAGGTTTTCAAGGCAGAGAACATGGATGGAGCTTCTTTTTAAGAGGCAATGTGACAGTGGATAGAGAGCTCCAGCATCTAGACTGATCACATGACTTCTCAGTGATCTGGGCAACTCTCTTAGAACATAAGTCTAAAGAGGCGCCAACCTGATTGATAAAGGGAGTTTCTCCAGGCAGGAGTTCCATAAAACTTATGAAATCACAAGTCCAGTCTTAATCCTTATGTAAAAGACCCAGTAAAAATCACAGGAAGTAGGGGTAGTATGACTAAGTCTACTACTACCTAGCATTTATATTATGCTTGAAGGTTTTATAATGGTAAAACATTTTATGATATTCTCTTATTTGAACCTCATAACAACACGGTAGTTTTAATTTTTATTCCCATTTTACAGATAAGTAAATTGAGGTGGAAGGAGGTTAAGTGACTTGCCTAGGATCATCACACAGCTAGTAAGTGTCTGAGGCCACATTTGAACTTGGTCTTGCTGACTCTGCTTCCAGGATTCTAATCACTGTACCACCTAGCTTCCTACCAAACAAAAATAATTTCTCTAAGTTGTTTGTAATTGAGTTTTGTAATTAATTTTAGCATTTCTGTACTGAAAATGATAGATTGCTATCTAGACTACATCTACTACTACTACATCATCACAGTAAAAACTGTGATGACTATCTACATAGAAGATACTTTGAAAAAAATTCTTCATGAAGAATATTTTAGCTACATGACAAAGAGTTAAACAAACATATTTCTCCCTCCTCCATCCCATATTTACTATCATGTTTCATAATCAAAATTAAAATGATTTTCATTAGGTTACCTGTGTTTTCTGGCATCGAAGCTTGATCAGTATTCCTCTCTTTTTTAAAGGAGATGTTTCCAAACTGTAGCACTGAAGACACTACTTTAAGCATTGCTATGTTAAAAGATAAATGCAAAAGATATTAATAATTTTTTTTACCAAACTGAGGTAGTGATACATTCAAATTAAGTCCAAAATCTCTCAGTGTTCTTTCTTAAGTTTATAATTCCTGTTACAGGTTAGCAAACCCAAAGCTTTAAAAAAAAAAAAAGGCTTAAGATTTTTTGCTAATAATATCACTGGAATCAATACTATGAAATAAATACTACGAAAAAAAAATTTAAGAATTTACCAACTACAAATATAATGCACTAGAGATAACAAGTATGAAAAAGTGTAGTTCCTGTTTACAAGAACTTACAAGTTATGAGGGAGGATTACAGGCTACACTCAGATTAATCGATATAGAGTGTTTGATTGAGGCAAAGGAGAACTCCTTTAAGTTTCTAAGAGAACTTTTTTAAAAAGTATTTAAGGAAAACGTGAGGATGGGAAAGCATTTTCAGCTCAAGAATATCACACAGCACCTTCACTGTACAGGCTATATCACTGCACGGAGAGAAGATGACAAGTTCAGGGAATATTTAACACTCCAGTTTGGATTTTTATGGGGGGTGGGACAGAATTATGAAGGGGAATAGCTTGAATTAAACAGGAAAGGGAGGGTGGAAACAGAGTATGGAGGGCTTAAATTCCAGGCTAATGTGGTTTCTATTTTATCCTATAAGCAACAGGGAGACACTCAAGGTTTTTAAGGCGGAAAGTGACATGGTCAGACCTGTGCTTTGGGAAGATTATTTTGGCAGCTTTGTGAAGGTTTGATTGACCAATGTTTAAAAGTTCTACTGAAGTGCACATTGGATCTTACAGATCCCACACATACACAAGATTTCATCATGAGAGAAGCCCATTATGTGCATCGCTTCCATTGTCTCTTGAAAGTTATCTTTGTCTTGCTGTCCAGGAATAGGAATATAGCCATTGGATAAAAATCTATAGTTATTAAATCCTTCAAGAAGCAAGTCAGCTGAGGGAAAAACAAAATAAAACAATTTTTTAGCAATTAGTCATGAATGGACAATTATTTACTTCAGTACTTGAAATGAACTATAACTACAGCATAACAGATTATCATTGCCTCAACTGCACTTTCACAATTTTAGGTTATTAAATAGTTATCTGTTTTGGGATTAGAACTTTATAGAGAGAAGGAAGACTCAAAACACTAATCTTTATCTCATGTCTCATTTTCCTATTTCCATTAATTACATCACTTTCTCAGTCACCCACGACTGACCTCCATATAAATGACTGTGTTCCAGTATCTGTTTTAGGTATCCAAAATAATCTATCTAAAATGGAAGCAACACCATGAATATTACCTGACTAAAAATCCATCTGTCCCTTTCCCTAGCATTGCTTGTTGTCTTTATATTCACTTTTTAAATCACATCACAGAAAATTTAGCAAAAACAAAGGCTTTTAAAAAAATCTAAATCATATATTTGCTCATAAATAAAAGAATGCCAATTAAAATATCTCCCAAGCTTTATACAGATTTTTAATTTATTTCATGCAACTGAAAGCTGGAAACACTTAAATTTTAACCTGAGAAAGTCTACTTGTATTCAAAAAACCCAACACATGCTTTGGTCTAAACAATTATTTAAAAAACAAGCCTTACTTTTGGCTTAGCAATAGAAAATAGCATGTAGAACAGACACCTATCATTACCTGGAACCACACTGCTTTTTGGTTTTATTTTTAAAAGGTACAATTGCAGCAAACCCTAAGCCTTAACCTCTTTAAAGAGAAAAGACTAAGCTCTACATTAAGAAAAAATTTGAAACTTTCTACTGTTTTATTCAATGCAATGGTAACTTACACTTCAGATGTTCTCCTGCTCCAGACAGCAGTTGGTAAAATATATGAAATGTACGTTCATCTTTAGCTTGACGAACTGCTCGAGATTTTTCCAAAAGATCTGAGTCAGAGCAGTTAAGGATTAAATATGCTGAAAAGTAGTAAGTCTATTAACAGTGTCACTATCCCTTAAGAGTAAAAGCTTACTTTTCCCATTCACATGACAAATGCTACTGCAGCTATAACGGAACAAACAACAAAAATACTTTTAACCCAAGTGTGATCCAAAAAGACAAAATCCATTTCAGTCTGCTTCCTACACTCAGTCATTAGACTGAATCCAAAGGTCAGCCAAGCCTTCTCAGGTGAACGCTATCACTTTTGTTGTTGTTTGTCCTTGTTGAAGTTGTGTCTACTTATGTCTTAGTGGTTTTTTTGGAGGGGAAAGGAGTTGTTTTCTTTTTTGTTATTTATTTCAAAGACATCAGGTCTCTTATAAACTAATGCAGAAGAAACTAGGCCTACGTGATTTGGCTGATGGTGATGATTTGGTCAGGCAGTGGAAACAAAACCTGCATGACAGTTCAAGATCTGCCACTTGGCTAAGAAATCTTTCCCTATTTGTAAAACTCGGACCAGACAATTCTTAAGGTCTCTTTCCAGACTATCCCTCCCAACCCCCGCCTCACCCCCACTCTTTCCTATTATCAGAAAAAGATTCATCTGGGAAAATTGATTATAGACAGGTTCAAGGAATAGTTCCATTCAGTATTAAATGACGTATTCATTTTCCGCATCATGAATGCCCTCGGCAGCCTGGTGAAGCCTAGACCCCTTCCCAAGATGACATTTTTAAAAGTAAAAAATAAATTATATAGGATTACAAAGAAAACCAATTATATTGAAATAAAGATGCAATTAATTTTCCCAACCAAGTTCATAGACCCTTCTGAAATTTATCCACAGACCCAAGGTTAAGAAACTGCTGATCCAAACTGACAACTTAAGGAACCTGGAAACAATGGTAGAAAGGAAACATATTAAAAAAAAAAACTTTATTAACCTCTTTCTTAATTTAAATCACCAACATTTTCCAATGACAACCCCATTCCCACCATCAGAGCCAACTTTCAAAACAAAGAATTAAAAAAAGATGGGTGAAAAATAACAGTTCAAGTGAAATAACAAACCTAATAACCAAATCTGACATTATATGAAGTGCTATATATTCATACCAGGTCTGCAAAAAAGGGAGAGGGAAGAGCATTCTCATATCTCATCTGGCATTATGCACATCCATTATAATTTCAAAGGAGTAGGTTTTTCCATTGTTTTACTGTTCTTCTTTCCACTTATACAGTTGTAGTCATCCTGAATATTGTTTTGCTTCTGCTTACTTCACTGCAAAAATCCATTTAAGTCTTCCCACCATTTCTCCCAGTGAAGTCACATTCCATTACATTCGTATACCTCAATTTTTTTAGGCCATCCCTCTCAATAGGCATACACTTTATTTCTAGTTCTTTGCTACTGCTTCCATAAAATACTTTTTTATGTAGAAAAGACAATGCTTTCAACCTTTGATCTTTTGGTCACATATAATGGTAGTATCACTAGACCAAAAGGCATGGAAACTTTATTCACTTAGCAGAATTGCAAATGGTTTTCCAGAAAGAATGGACGAAATCATGGCTCTACCAATAGCATGTTTTTTTGCCTGCCTTTCCCCAAATACCTCCAATATTTCCTATTCCCATTTTTAACATCTTTTTCAATTTACTGAGATGAAGTCTCAGCTATTTCAATTTGCATTTCTGTTATTACTGGTAAATTGGAACAGTATTTCAAATGGCCCTTAACAGTTTCCAATCATCCTTTTGAGAACTGTTTGTTTATATCCTTTGACTACTTCTCTATTGGGAATAGCTCTTAAACATTTGTATTAGTCCCCTATATATCTACTTAACTAGAGACAGAAAGATTTTTCTATCATTTATATTGATAAAAATATCTTCCTCCTATCTACAGCTTCCTTCATATTCTATATGAACTGATTCGGCTCATGCAAAAGCTTTTCAGTGTTATATAATCAAAACTATGTCATAATACAGTTTTACATATTATATATGTTAACTATATGCCTAATTTCGTTAAGAATTTTGACCAAATTAATAACTGGAATAATAAAAACATTTATATAGCACTTATTATGTACCAAGCACTGTGCTAAATGCTTCAATTATCTCACTGGATCATCACAACCCTATGATATAAGTGCTATTATCCCACTGTTTACCAATGAGGAAACTGGCAAACAGAGGTTAAGTAGCTTGCCTACGGTCACAGCAATGGCGAATGATGCTAGATTTAACTAGATTTAAACTCAGGTCTTTCTGATTCCTGGCCCTGTGCTTTACCTACTGTACTACCTCACTGCCCCAAAGTTCCTAATCATCTTGTTCAATTATGGTATGACTTTTGATATTCAGGTCATGTATGCAGTTTATTGTGGTATGTGGTGTGTGTAAGCTATTGATGTAAACCTAACTTTGTCCAAAACATTTTCCAGGTTGCCCAGCAACTCTGGTCAAATACATAGTTCTTGCCCAAACTATCATTATTCTCAGGGTTACATTCAATTGTTTCTGGTTTCCTCCTTATCTAGTTGTTCCAAAATCTACTTTTCTATTTTTAATCCTGTGCCAACTAGTCTGATGATTATTGCTTTAAAATATGGCCTAAGGTCTGGAAATGAAATTCCCACTTAATTCCTAATTTTTTCACTGTTTCCCTTGAGAATCTAGGACTTTCGCTTCTCCAGATGAATTGTTAGTACTATTATAAGCTCTGTAAAGTATCCTCTGAGTACATAGTTTGATTGATAGAAGCAGTAAATCTACAGATTAATTTAGGTAATGTATGGTTCAACCACAAGCATGGAAGATTCCTCTTATTATAAACGTAGTTCTTTATTTCCTCAGAGATAATGAATGAAGAACTACATTGAAAGCAAGGAAGACCCAAGTTTAAGGACTGCCTCTTACCCCTCCAGGTTGTGAGATCCTGGGGTTTACTTAACCTCTCAGGGCTCCAGGAATCTCTTCAGAGAAGGTGCTGACCTTCATTGGCAGATCAAGTTACTTTCTGGAATTATCTTGTCAATGAAATCCCAGGTCTACTCCTTATTTTTCTAAGGAACATTTTGTAATTATTTTAAATGGGGCTTCCCTTTCTATTTTTTTTTTCTTGGAGTCTGTCATTACTATATAGAAATCTTGATTCTGTTGGTTTTATTTTATGTAACACATACATACAATAACTTTTCTGAAATTACTGTCCCAGTTTCTTTATTAAATTTCTAGTATTTTCTAAGTAAAATATCATGCTATAATTAATGAAAGATTTTTTACGCCCTCCTTTGCATATTGTTATGCCTTTAATTTCTCTTCTCTTAATTCATCACATGCTTTTCTAGAACAATTATAACCCTTAAGAGTAGGTAAAGAGTCACTACTGCTTTAGTACTATATCTACTGGGCAAGACTTCCCATACCATATAATACTATGTTTTTCATTATTTTTAGAGAGGTCTTCTGTCTATGCATAAATGAACAACTGTACATTTTCTACGACTTATTTAAAGTCTATAGCGATCAGATGGTTTTGGACAATCCCCTCCCCCCAATTAACGGTATTAGGAAAACAAATTGTTTCCCTTGCTTGCATCTCTGGTACAAATTCAATGTGATCATAGTAAATAATTTTTGAGATATACTAACATCTATAGGCTTTTTGCCAGGGTTTTATTAAGACTTTTGAAACATTCATATTAATGATATTGAGCTATAGTTCTCTGTTTTAACCTTTCACAATTTAAGTATTAGGACTATATTTGTCTTAATAACAAGGAGATTGGAAAAGGGTTTTCTTTCTCAATTTGAGAATAATTTGTATAGCAGTTAATTGGTCTTTAAAAATCTGACAGAATTCTTAGAATCATATTATCATAGAATGTGAGAAATAGAGGGCATCTTAGCAGCTGTCTAGAAGAACCTACACTGTAAATTATCCAAAAGGTGGTTAACTTCTGCCAGAAAATCTTCAAGGAGGGGGACCCTACCACCTTGAAGGGAGCCCCATTCTCACTTTGGGGCAGTTCCATTAGATACTTTTCATGACATCAAACCTAAATTAGGCTCCTTTCAACTTCCATTTGTTGTTCCTGCCCTCTGGGGCCAAACGGAACAAATCAACTCCCTCTTGTACAAAACAGTCCTTCAAATGCTTGAGGACACCAACCATGAGCCTTCTCTTCTCCAGGTTAAACATGCCGAGGTTTCATCTCTATGACATGTACTTGCTGCCCTTCACTGTCCTAGTTGCCTTTCTCTAGATACTACTCTCCACCTAAACATTGGTGGGTGCCTAGAACTGAACAGGATACCCTAGAAGAGATCTGACAAGCGAACATCTCTCTATTGTAAAGCATTCCCTCATTTACAAGTTTTACAAAAAGGATGAGACTAAGCTAGTAAATCTGTCTGTGATTAACTTATCATGGTTGTCATAAACATGTCTCAATCTAGATATTAGACAATTAACCCTTTCATGATCCATTCTAGAATTTTCCCCAAATTTCTTCTATAAAACCATCTGGACAAAGGTTCACCCCTCCCAGGAATTTTGGAGCATTCAATTCAAATGCCTTTTCTGAAATTAGATTATTTAAATATCTATTTGTCATAATTTGGTTATTTTGGATTTTGACTCTGCTTCCCCTTTTAAAGTTAACTAAAGCTTTTTTTATTGTTAATCTTTTAGCTTTACAAATTATATATTTTACAAATTACATATTTTTGGTTTTCCTATTTATTTTTTCCTATAATTTTGAAATTTTCCTTTTTGTCTTTATTTTGGGTTTGTGTTCTAAATTTTTAAAATTGCGTGTTTGGAGCATTCATCTTCTATTTTGCTAATGTGTTTGTTCTGGGATATAATTTTCTTTTAAGTATTGCTTTGTCCTTGGTATTTAGACATGTTGTCTCCATATTACCATTCTCTTTCACATAATTATTGGTACTATGATTTCTTTTTTAACCCACTCATTATTCCTATAATTCTAAAATCTTTATGGTTGTATCTTTTGCTTGCATTCCCAGTGCCAATAAGTGTTTTTATTGTGTTATTTGTATTTGTGTAAAGGATGTGCTTCATATTTGTGTTTCCTACATTTATTTACAATTTTTCTGTGGCCTTGAACATGATCTTTTTTCTAAGACATGGTGCTGAGAAATATATATATTCTCATATTATCTTTTTTCTTCCATATATTTCCATCAGATTACCTAAATGTTTTTCAATTTTTTTAGATTTTCGAAGTAGAAGCTTTTAGGTTTTTTAAAACAGTTTTATAGTCTTTGTTTTCCCATTAATCTTTTTCTCCTGTCATTTTTAAAAGTTTCTCTCTAAAACTTATTTGTTGATTTTATAATTTTTAAATGGAATTTAAACAGTAATCTCTAAACAAGAAATAAGTCATTTCTTTCCTTTATATCTGTACTTATTTGACATATGGTTTGGGATCTTTACAAACTGAATATTCCCTTCATGACTTTGGCTGGGATGGGTGGGGGGAGAAAAGGGAGACAACAATACCCAGGAATGACTCAAATGACACCCTTTTCTAGATTGTTCATCCTTTATGATTAAACTTGGGTTTGCATGGTACGACAACAAGGAACATGTATTTATTAAATGCCTTCTACACAACAGGCACTATATCCTAAGCGTTGTTCCCAAAAAAATTATTTACAAAGAAGGTTAAAAATCCCTGCTCTCAAAGAGCTCACAGTCTAAGGAGACAACATGCAAACAGCTATGTACAAACAAGATATATATATAGGATAAATTGGAGATATACAATGGAAGGAAAGCATTAGAATTATGGTGGATCAGGAAAGGCTTCTTGTAGGAGGTAAGGTTTTATCTGGGACTTGAAAGAAGCCAGGACGCAGAAGACGGACACCAGGCATGAAGAACAGCCAGTGAAAATACACAGAGCTCAAGGAACAGTAAGGAGCCCAGCATTACTGGATCAGAGGACATGGAAGGGAGTAATGTGTAAAAAAGAATGGAAAGCTAGGTAGGGGCCAGGGTATGGAGGGCTTTAAAAGTCAAGAAGAGGATTTTATATTTGATCCCGAAATATGGACTACTGAAGTTTACTTAATAGTGAGATGACATGATCAGACCTGAAATTTAGGAATATTGAGTAGAGAATGACCTGAAGTGAGAAGAGACTTGAGGAAGAAAAACCAACCAGAAGGCTATTACAACAGTCCAGGCATGAGGTGATGAGGGCTTGTACGTACATTGACGGTGACTGTATAACAAGTAAGAAGGAGCCTTGTAAAAGGAACACAAAGGCAGAATGACAGCATTCAGCAACTGTCATTTGGGGTTATAGCTGGAGATTTTTGGAATGTAACATTCCATTCTCTTCTGTGAACCATCACAGGTATGCTGGTCTCATTATTCCATTGGTGTCTTCTTCCTGGAGCCTCTACTTTGAGAAAAGGTGAGGACAGTCATCCTTCATTGCCTTCCCAGCTGCCCTTAGGACTTTCTGTATTTCCTTTCCCAGTTCCCAATGTCTTGTCTTCCCCTATTAGAACATAAGTTCATTGAAGACACAGACTATCTTTTCTTTTGGTTGTATGAGTAGTTAATAAATGCTTGTCTTGCCTTGTCTTCTGCAATTTTTTGTGGCTACTGAATATTTTCAAATTTCTTTTCCTTCATATTTCAAATACTGTCCCTGGCTGATTGTGAAATTTGGCATTTTCAGTGAAATAATTAAATCTGATTGCCACGTCTTGGAAGTTTCCAGGTTTTTTTGGTGGTTCATGTTTATTTTCTTTATCAATGCTTTTATTTTCTCTATTCAGAATTTAGAGACATTTTTCTGTTTAATTTTCTACATGACAATATTTAAGTTTTTTATTTGCAGTACTCCTCTGAGAGACTCATGATCTTTAAGTTGTTTCTGTGCACCTTGCATCCAAGGTCATAATCTCTTCATACATTCTTCTAAAATTATTGCCCTTAACTTCTCTCTAGGAAACTTTCTGCTACTTCAATACATGTGCTCCAAATCTGTTAAATTTTCTTCTCTAAAAAGAACTTCCGTAAGAGTGTATTTTTTCTAATATTCTATTTTTTAAATAATCTGCATTGATATGTCTAGTATCTTAGCTATATTTGTTCCTAATTTCTTCTTTCATGAATTTTTTTCTCTATTGAATGTTAAAAAACTTCTTATTGTTTAAGAAGCGTGTTGCTTATAACCTGCTATCCGATGAACTTTCCTTCCTATAATAACATTTATAAAGAAAGCTTTGTATTCTATTTTAGAGGTTTAATTCATTCTTTCTTCTGGTTTTCAGGTCCCCTATATGTTGATTTGCCTGCCATGTGCTGGGCTTTTATTGAAGCTTTTTTAACAAGTACTTTCCCCTATTATCATCAAACATTACTACAAAATTATCTCATAATCTTTTACAATCAATTATAGCTTTTCAAATTCAAATTTCAATTTTTAAACACCTGTGATTTTTCCGGAACTTCTAAAGTTGTCTACCTTTGTGAAGCCTTGGTGACACGTTTTACTTTTCCTTCTAGCTTTTTGTGAGCCTCAAAGTTTTGGGACACTGTTTTTATAGATACTTCACAGGTTATTACCAAAAAAAGCACTTCATAAACCTTAAATTGCTATGAAAAAGTAAGCTAATATGGAGACTTGAGGGAGGGTGGACCTAAGACTTTACTGGCATACGGAACTCCCTAGTGAAGAAACTCCTAATGAAGATAGGCACTTGATCTACAACTTGAAGTCTAAAAAAGTTGGCTGAATACTGAGATAAAAAGTGACTTGCTAAGGGTCACATTGGATCTTCTTGACTTCCTGTTCAGCTCTCTATCCAAGACAGCACACTGCCTTATAGTATTATTACAACTAACTACATTATTAGAACAACTTTAATTTAATCTTTTACCAAGGCCTCTTTCAAAGATATCTTGACAGAGGGGATGATGGTTCAATAAAGATTTGTATGGGAAAATGTTATATATACCCATTGTATTCCAACTGGTAAAATATATCTGACATACTATTTAAAGTACTTCTAAAAATGCCCCCCTCTAATCAACCATTATAATTACTTATACCTCACAGCATTATAAATAAAAGAAAATTATTTAAGAAATATGCTATCTTGTAGAAATAGGATACATGTCTCGATGTTGGCTCCAACGATATAACCAGTGACATCAAAGTTGATCCGTATAAACTTGCCCTGAAAGTAAGTTAAAGAGCTAAGTTACAGTCATCAGTATTAATATTAATACAAATTCCTCCTGTAATTCATTTTCCTAGCATTACTGTTTTTAACTAGAATGTTTAGGAAAAACTGAATCTTTTCAATTAAGTAGCTGTTTTTTCCAGGAGTATTTTCCTTACAATTTAGCTCTTTCTAGAGGGACCAAACACCAGATATTTCCTAGCATCTATAATTAAAACATTTGCTCCCTCCCCATGCCTTTTATATTTCAGAACATAAATATACACACACACACACGCGCACATGTACACGAGAAGAGTGTGTGTGTGTGTGTGTGTGTGTGTGTGTGTATGTGTGTGTGTAGGATCAAAGTACTAGAGGGGTAATCAAATTAGCAGTAATCAAATTCAATACCCTTGTTTTATAAGGTAACCAAGGACCAGAGAGACCAAAATCAAACAGAAAGTAAGTGTCTTGGATGAAATTTAAACTCATGTCTTCCTGACACCAAATCTAGAACTTTATTATGTTACCTCAAAAATAAACTTGCATATAGGTGTGCCAGTATGTGTGCAAACACACACACACAGAGAAATACCTCTACTAATAAAAAGAGATGACTAAGATGTTATTATCCAAAAATTTACCCAAAATAATATTAAAGGAACACAGGTATGCATTTCAGGATATGAAATATCTCCTCAATATATCACAGTGTGACATGCTCCTAGAGATAATTCCTGCCTTAGTCACCTGCCCTTTCTTACTCCCAAGTGATCAGTCTAAACAGTTCTATTTCTGCCTATTTCACTGCTCCTTCTCATTCTCATTTACTGGCTCATCATCCCTATCATGCCCACAAACTGCGCAGACTTCCCAAAGTTCTGGGTCTTCTTTTCTTCTCCCTCCATAGTTTCTTGACAACCTAATCAAGGCTCAAAGGTTTAACTAACAACTCTATGCAGATGACTCACAAATACACACACACACACACACACACACACACACACACAAAACCTCTCCCCTGACTTTCAGTCCCATATCATTAACTATCTTTGGACATTTCAAACCAGATGTCCTAGAGACATCTTAAATTCAAGATGACCAAAACTAAACTCTTTATCTTTTCCTCTCTCAAACCAACCCCTTACAAACTTCCCTATTTCTGTTGAAGATATTATCAGTCTTCCATTCCCCTATTCAATCACAATATTTTACTCAACTCCTCCTTCTCCCTCACTCCACATATCCAAACATTTGCCAAATCTTGTTGTATCATCTCCACGTCTCTCACAATTGACTCATTCTCTCTACCTACACAGATATAACTTCAAATTAGGCTTTCATTACTACTTGCCTAACTATTACAACAGCTTGAATTGGTCTCCTTCCCCATTCTATATATAGCTTACAAAATGGTTTTCCTTAAACACAAATCTGATCATGTCTGACCATCCCAATATCTCCTCCCTAATGCCCTGAACTCAATCAACTCAAGTGGTTCCCTATGGCTTCTAGAAAAATATCATCTCTTTTGTTTAGCTTTTAAAGCCCATTGCAACCTGACCCCAATCTAACTTTCCAGTCTTATTATTGGACTTTACTCCCCCTCCCATACTCTAAATACAGCCAAACTAGCCTTTTCTTGTTCTTCACAGAGGAGACACCCATCTCCAGTTTCGGTGCCTTTGTATTTGGAGTCACTCTTGGCTAGAAGGCACTTCTTTCTTAGCACCACCTTACAGAATCCTTTTTTACCTTCAAGATGCAGTTCACTCTCTATGTGAAGTCTTTCCTGATCTCCCCAACCGTTAGTTCTTTCCCTCACAAATTCTCTTTTAAACTATTTTATATTTATTCCTTATGTATTTGTTTTCTTTATTCTGCATATAATTATGTACGTACGAATTATCTTTCCCATTTGAATGCAGGTCCTCATGAAAAAAATTTGAGTGTAAGTCCTCATGTTTCTTTGTATTTGTAATCTAAGTAACTAGCAGAACATAGTAGGCTCTTAATAAATGCTTGTAAATTGATTGGAGAGCCTTAGGAATACAGCCCAGGTGCACAAAAATAGAGTAAGAACTCATTAAATACCCACTAAGAGAATTCATGAAAATTTTATGAAAAGTAAAATTAACTGATAAATAACTAAGATAGTTCCCCAGTGCTTAGCAGAGTCTGTCACATAAGTAGATGATTAATAAATGTTAACTGAGTAACATACCTAATAAAAAGAAATAAACCTTCACTATCTATGCTTATAGAGTGAAGCCCTAACCTAAGCCAGTTACCTTGTGTCTCCTTTTATGCTCAAGCAAGAAAATGAGGATGAATTAATGTAATTCAAACAATTTATAGGACTATTAATATTGGGTCAATAACATCACTTATCATCATTGGAATTTTTCAGTAAAGTGGATCTTTTACACATATCACCATGCGAATAAAAATTATTTTATTGGTGTAGTTTATAAACAATGCGCTAAGCTGAAATGTAATTGCTCTTTAGGACTGAGACAACTGATCTTTTCCAATCCAGTGGCCACTGTTGTATTTTCCAAATTTGCTAGACATTGAATGCAGCACTTTAACAGCATCATCTCTTAGAATTTTAAATAGCTCCGCTGGAATTCTGTAACCTCCACTAGTCTTATTGTTAGCCATGCTTCCTAAGGCACACTTCATTCTCCAGGATATCTGGTTCTAGATCAGTAACCACACCATTGTGGTTATCAATGATGTCAAGATCTTTCTTGTATAGTTTTTCTGTATATTCTTGCCACCTCGTCTTAATCTGGTTATATAGAAGTTAACTCTTCCATAGCAAAAGATTTTCTGCTATGAGGAAGAACAAAAACATCCTACTAATTCTTAACAAGAACTACAATCATTTGAAACAAAGCCAGACTATTTTTCAAAATGTCTTTTCAATAGATTTATTGTACAAAATATATCACCATCTGGAATGCATCTTACTTCTCCATCAACATAGCAGAAATAACTGTGAATGATTATTTTTATAACAGCAATGTTGACCTAAAGAATGAACTCTTTAATACAAACCAGATGTCTTTTAAGACTTTAAAATAAAAGATTCTTCACAAATTAGTAATCTCTAACAAATAAGTGGAATCAAATGGTTTCACAAGGTTAAGAAATTTATTCTACACAGTCTGTAAGAGGTCTGTTAATCAGTATCCAATAATTTCCAAAATTCCCATCTTAGAATTTTAGAAGGCTCCGTATACTTAGGCAACTCACAGAAAACAAAGTTGTCTTTGCATCACATCACTTAGTATTTCACATTTTCCTAAATAAGTTATCAACAGCATTTCACAAAAAGCTTTCCATTTCTTTCTTCTCTTAATTCATGTAGCACTTTTAAATAAGAGTCCTCTGTGTGGCTCTGAATACACTACTGGGCACCAGTGTTTTGATTTTGATTTTTTTTTTTTAAACAAGAATTTACTACGTGTCTACTACATGCCAGGCACTGTGCTATGAACTAGGGATACAAAAAAAGGCAACAAACAGTACTTGCTCTCAAGGAGCTCATAGTCTAATGGTGGACAGCACATGCAAACAACTGTGTAAAAACAATATATATTTAGGAAAATATACATAATTAACATAGGGAAGGCACTAGAATTAAGAGAGATCAACAAAGGTTTTTTGGCAGAAGGTAAGAATCCATCTGGGACCTGAAGGGAGTTAAGGAAGCTAGGAGGTAAAGATGAGGAGGGAAAGAATTCTAGGCATGAAAAGTAGGCACCAGTATTCTAAGGATATCCACATTGCTTACATTCTCCTCCGCACTAGTAATGGATGCAGTACAACAGACATCAGTACATAAAACAATAAATATACATATTAAAATTTTCCTCCTGTCAAAGGGGCAAGTATGGCTTATAAAGGAAAGATACTAGAAAACTAGACTAAAACAAAAGAAAATAAATGCTAATTGTTCTCTAGTGGATGTGTGCAAAATTAAGGAATACAACAAAACAAAGATTCTTTAGTGGGTCCCTACAAATATGTGAGGAAGTTATATAACATCTCAGGTGAAGACCCCACAGTATACAGTATTCCCTCTGATCTGTACTATCATCTAACACTCACAGGTTGGGTCTTCGGAAAGAGGATGGTTTCTCAAATTTTAGAGATAAGCCAGGACTGCACTCTGTAGCTCATAAACCCCCACCAGTGTGCTACCTATTAACAATCAGACAGTAGCATCAAACAGCTATTGGAAAAGGCATTTACACAACTGCAAGGAAGAACAGAAGTTACATCTTTCAAGGAATCTTATGCAATTTTAATATATACATATGCTTTAAAATAAGCATTTTAAAATTAATATCATGTTGGAGAATAGCCCTTATGGCATCTATCAAATCAAAAGGCTTACAAAACATAGTCAACAAAGTAATAATGGTACAATCTTATATTCTCTGCAACTTTCAGTCAATTAAGACAGCAAATTATTGGTCTGCTATAGAATTCTGATTACAAAAGTCAGCTTACTAATTTTTCATATTTTCACTAAAGATACTTCATACCTTTAGATTGCTGGCATTGAGCTTTTGTAGAAATGTGGGGGTTAGACATACAGAGCAGCAGAGATGTTCCTGCAATTATTTTTGGCAGTCATATCATGCATGAATTTTTTATAATCACTTGGTATGTTTCTCTTTAAACTATCTTGAGAATAGATCCATCAACATGCTCAAAATTTTCTCACCTCTGCCAGGGACTTCTGTGCATATATCTGGTTTGTGCATATATCTGGTTTAGCCTCTCTTCCTGTCAGTTTCTTTTAGTGTCATTTCTACTACGTCACATAGACTATTGGGGATTTTGAGGTCAGAGTCCAAATGTGATTGCTCCACTGTCATTACTGAAGAAAACACAATTTCTTATAGCAATGTTGAGCAATCTATCCCACAGTAGCATAGGCTATACACTAAAACTGACAGCAAATATTAAAAGCAGATATTACTCTTTTAAGTTAA